CTATAATTATTTTATTTATTTAATATAAACTATTTTTTAATTAAACTGTCATTGACTAAAGGAATGAATAAAAAATATTGAACCCAAGAATTGTTAGAATATTTATAACTCGACAGTGAGTTCTCCTTATTGAGAAAGACAATATCCTCACAATAATCTTAAGAAACATTGGGCCGAAGCCCATGTAAATTCAAATCGAGAGTTTTAGAGAATTCCGATGGCGAAGAAATCTGGTGGTCTTGGAGATTCCACGGCAAGGTCTCATGTTGTGGCAGAGGTGGGAATTTCACAGGTCTCTGATATCATGGAATCACTCTGATGACCCCTCGGGTGGGATTTACAGTTTACCTTTCGAAACTCAAAGGTTATCATCAGTAGGACTGATGAAGGCAGCCACTGGATATATTGGAGTGGGCCGTGGAATGGCCAAACATTTGCAAGAATGCCTCGGATTTTTAATCTAACTTCGACCCCTTGACCACTTGTATGTTAATGGCGACAAGCATCTCTTCTTATTCAAGGCTCCAATTGGTCCATACCGGGATTACTAGCACACTACATGTGGAACCTCAATGGATTTGTCATAAACATTTATGATTTGTCCTCTATGGATATTTATGATTATTGTGGGCCAAATGCTTACTGCGACATAAACATCATGAATGCAAACTGTACATGTCTTAAAGGATATTACAACACTACAGATGGGTGCGTGATAATGGCGCCTCTCCACCGCGGGGAAAACGAATTTGTCTCACTACTGAACATGAGTTTTCCGCACAGTTTGAAGCCTATTCAATCTGAATCTACCAGAATGCCAGAAGATATGCACCGAGGATTGTAATGGAGGTCTAAATCTGTATATCAAACAGGATGGTTAGTTCGATTTCATAGAATTATTTCAGTGTTTTCGTAATCAACCATACGGACCTTTATATACCTATGAAAAATACAGAGTAGTTTTGCTGAATTTGAAAAAGTTTGTTTTGTAACTCTCAACATTTGAGTTTAACCTTTCATTGCACAGCGGCTACATGTCTCCGGAATATTCCACAAAGTCAGACATTTTCAATTATAAGTGGGAAGCAGGACAACAGATTCTCCTATGTGGACGCCAACACGAATCTTTGTAAGCTTCTAAATTTGTTGTTTTGAGACCAAGTGAACATAATTAATAATCAGAAACTAAACAAACGCCTGGTTTTATGGACAGGTGTGGAAGAAAATGGGTGGGCGGAAACTGGGAAGAGATTATGGATCAAGTCATACTGGAATCATCAGCGTCTCGGGCTGAACAAGTCCGAAGATGCATCGGAATTGGTCTTTGTGCGTTCAACAAGGTGCAGATGACAGACCAAAGATGTCAGCGGTTGTTGCAATGCTCGAGAACCAAGAACTTGAGCTTCCCAATCCTAAACCGCCTGGGTTCTTCATGGGTGAAAGTCAGAATGCAATTCCTTCGAATACCAACCAAGACTGTTCTGCTTCAATCAACCAATACACCCTCACAGAAATCAGATCACGATAGTAATATAAGAAACAAAAAAATGTTGTCTTTAATTTCAGTCAATGTTTATTTGCTCTAAGATGCTTAATCTCCTGTCGTTTACTGTTATGACATTCAATGCATATACATTTTTGTTATTATTATTATATGGTTATCAGGTCAGGTACTTTTCAAGCTAGTTGTGATCACTGCATAATACGGTAAATTATTAGGTCCCTAGGATCAGTATTATTGTTTGGTTCTCACAAATTATGAGTAGACTTTTTCGACCAGTGCTAGGATTCACAAGTGGGGGATGCATTCAGATTTGTCTACTTTGTAGATAATATGACGAAACTCTCGAGATCACTTCTTTTTTTGCTTGTCCATATTCGTACGTGATCTAAGCCTAATTTCAAAGTCTTCAGACTTACAATCCATTGTAGTGATTCCTTCAATGGAAGCAAAATTTGTAACGATCCGTATGCGGTTGAATCGAACAATATGAACCGAACTATAGTTTGTCTTATAGAC